GATCGGGAAGTCAACATGATGAACGACTTCGCTCCAGAGCTGGGCAGGAGGAAGCGAGCGGCTTGGGAAACTTACAAGAGCATCGAGGACGTAGTGAAGAAGACGAGGAACACCAGGCTCCGTGCCCACTTCTTCAATACGACGGTTCTCCCTGCTTTGACGTACGCCTCTGAAACCTGGGCGTTACGCAAGCAGGATGAGAATGCGGTTAGCGTCGCCGAACGCTCCATCAAGAGGGTGATGCTAGGAATAACCCGCCTCACGCAAGTGAGGGCCGGAATACGGAGTTCCATCCTTCGTGAACAGTCGAAGATCAGGGACGCTGCAGCTTACGCCAAGTTGAGTAAGATCAGGTGGGCCGGACACGTGATGCGTCTTAACGACCACCGTTGGACAAGAGCTGTCAGCGACTGGACTCCACGGGACGTTAAGCGCACGACAGGAAGACCACCGACCCAATGGTCAGACTTCTTCACGAAGTCCTTCAAGGAAAGATATAATGCTCTTCATGCCCTCGAACGGACAGAATCCACTGGATAACTCTGGCTCGCGAGAGGTACAAATGGAAGGATTGCTGGCGCCCGCTCGGTACATCCGAAGATCAACGGGAGTCAAGGGGATCAAGGTGATTGACTTTACTGTCGAAATCCGTGTGACTCCAATGATACAGGTTGGAATCTTTCCAAATCCGAAGAACTGAGATCAGATATGTCACCTGCTAGGGAAGGTTCTTTGTTTTGGATAGCCCATCGATAAATGCGATAAACGAAAGATGCCTCTATGTTTTTCGTTTCCGGAGCAGCGCGCTAAGAAAAGGAGAGTGTGGAGCAGCCGACATCTTCATTCGTTCTGGAGTGGCAAGCTTGTCTGGAAGAGTACGGTATGTCTGATGATGAAACGATTGCTTTGGGATTCTGGTTGTGCACATTTCTTGCAATACGGTGAAGCTCCCTATTTGTGACGCTCTTATACCAGTTTATCTATCGTACACCTTTGAGAAGAGGCATAGGTGTGCTGAATTGCAATTTGAAGAGTATGTGGGAAAAAAGATACGTCGCGTTGCTGGCGTTAACCCATAATGTGCTCTTTTGGAAGGTACGAATAAACCACGTCTCTCAATACTCCTTAATTATTTGTTTCATAGATCATTCGGAGACGACACAATTTCGTAGCTACAATGACAGCAACATGCATGCATGTGCCCAGGGATAACAAGCTCTGCAAAAATACGCAGAGCGTGACACAGTGAAACCTCGATTACTGGTGAACAAGGTTAAGAAAGAGCTAGGAAGAGTGGACGATTCCAATTCATTGAATTAAGTAAAACAACTGTGCAGATCAGCTAACCAATAAAATCTAGCTTGCAAACACAGTGAGACCGGAGTATGACAATTTTGATGAATGGGAAATAGGAGGAGGGAATGACGCAGATCAGAGGAGAGAGTGCGAGGTCAAAACAGTGAAGACGAAAGCAGCTCGTTATCCTCTGACGGGGATAGAGATTACAAGGACAGTGGAAGAGGTCAGTGATCGTTGGTTCGGCCATGACAACTTCGCGCAAGAGTCACGGTTCCACACTGCGGTATTTGGCAAGACCGCGTCCGCACCACCTTTGAGCTGAGGAGGTTTCCGCGCGAGAAGGTGAAGCTGAAGATGGCTTCATAGAGTGAGTGCATAAAGTGCATAAAGCGAAAAGATTGTGATACCTAGTACAACTTTTCGTGTTACCCCAGACCAACTGAACTGGGTTTAGATCTGGGGATTCAGCTGGCCATTTCAGGAGTCGTACATACCAATCTTGCAATTTCTGTCGTGCGTATGAGCTGTTATATGGAGGCGCCTTGTCTTGCACGAGACGAGCAAATCCTGATTTGGTGGAGAGAGAATTAATTTAAGCATTTAATCAAACAGGTGGGGGTACCTTTGTATCGACTGGATTGAAATGGCAAGTAGAGGCGTTCTATGATACGGCAATGATACTCGCTGTTCGAGTGCGAGTTTTGTTGGAAAATATGGCAATTTGTGTCGCTCTGCGACATGAAATTCCTCCCCACACGAGAAGCTCTCCCGGATGCTTCGGACTGTTACGGAATTTCCCAAATTGATCTCCATCTGTGACGAAACAAAATCGCGTAGAGAAGTCGACTAAATTAGCAATTTCTAGAGGAAAGGTGAAGTCCAGTTTAGATGATTTGCTCACCTTTTAGAGTGCACTCATCAGTGAAAATGCAGTCGTAAAACGACTCATTGGCTGCAATCTTTTCCTGCGCAAATACTACACGGGCGACCCTGTTCTATTCTCTGGTCGTGTGGCAGTATTTTGTGGTGGCTTTCTTGAACCCAAGGTTGCGTCGATAACGTCGTATTTGTGAGGAACTAATCGGAATGTTTTGCATTTTTAATGTATCAGCAATTTCCTTGCTCGTAGTGAAACTGTTTCTTGAATAGCGTTCCTCGATCAGTGATTTGATATGGTCAAAATGGGCTAAAGAGAACAAAATTTGATGAAATCTTCGAAGCACGAAAAAATGATTTCTGACAATCTTACCGCCATATGTTCGTGGCTCATACCTTTCTTCTTTTTTGAAGAATAATTTTCGAAATCGCTTGAGAAGCGTATCACGGAATAATATGTTATCGTTTCATCGATCTGTAAAAAATTTCAACAAGTGCAACTGTGCAAGTCAGAAGGTCAAAGTCGATTTCCCGTCACGACGTAAAGGTAGGATAATGTGATAATAGTCCGTAGAATTGGAATAAATGGCGCTCAACGACCTAGGAATGTTTGGACGTTTAACCCGCGCATGATAGCCTTGGCCTCAAGGAACGCCTAAGGAACGGCTAAAGCGTGTTGCATACAGAGGCCACGGTATAAATGCAAACGGGACAGCTAATCAGGTCAGTTACTGCATAATGGGTATAAAAAGACGCCTTCGACGGGTTGTTAAGCGACGTGGAGGAAATATCTAATCTAGGAAATATCTATAAATATATCATCGAAGGGCGTGAAACGTCCGCTGACTTCGAGAAAGATGACTGTGATTGAAATGTAGTCTTAGAGTTGTGTTCTTTTCCATTTTTATTGTTTGTGCATTTTTTTTTGATTTTGCGATGAATTATTATATCTAGAATATATAGACTTCTATTTAGACACAGTTATATAAATAAATGTTTTTTCCTGTTGCATTTGTTACTCCGCCAAATTCGTCTACACACCTGTGAATCTGCATCTACAAAATATGGACAAATCCCTTATTATTGAAAATATATATATAATAATGTAGATTATTACATGTACAATGATGTAGAACACCATATCGTCCCATATGTTGTCTTGGGCAGACCTGGTCTGCCTCGGCCGAGGTGCGATAAATAGCCGGGCCAAAAGATTTAGCGGGAAATGAGAGGTATCCGGTAAAAAGGGAAAAACTCACAGTCGATTACATAACACGTGTCGAAGATCGAATTCAGAAGAACTTTCCGAAATTCGTGAAATTCTTGAAAACGCTGTCCTCATAATCCAAGTACTAGCAAAAATGCTGGAAGGTGTCAAGTTTCTGGTCCCATTGTGGGCTATTGGGACGAGTTACACCTTCACGAGTCTGTGAAGTCATAGTACTAATGAAATGAAAATATATGAAAAACATAGTGAATGAATCTGTGAAATCATAGTACTCATGAAATGAAAACGCATGAAAACATTGTGAAATCAAACCCTTCAGTGTTCTCCCACATTCATGTTGAGCATCCGCAAAGTTAGGAGACCCACTAAAAATCGTTATAATCTAAATCCGCCTCTAAATTCTAAACAAAGAGGAAGACTTCTAGCATTCTCACATAAAATTACGGAACTCACTGTTTTTAGTGGAGTGACAATTGATCAGAAATGGAGCGACCTCTGATCAAAGAGCAGAGACAAGGCGAAGACAGATGACTGCGGCTCTGGAAAAAAATTATTGAGCATTGCAGACAGACTTTAGGAAAGGAAAGTGTGCAAAGATCTAGTCTTTTTAAAACTCCCTTTGGAAATTTTCCAAGCCACCATCTAATAATTTTAACGTTCGTGGAACATTGAGTCTCTAAAACCTTTTTGGCGTTCGACAAGAAAATTCCAGTTGAATATTCAAAGTTTTTTTGTAGAAAGCGAAAAAGATATACTGTAGTGCCTTGACTGCCGGTAAGTGGCGAATTCACTGCCAAGATTTGAAGTCCCAAGCGTGGAGTAATGGGTCAGAACTGGCAGATCTCTGAGAGCAGTGCGATCGAACACGTAAGCGGGAGTTAAACATCTTGCCCATAGTTCTGTCGGATAGAGAAAAGATCGTGTCACCTAACCACCTGTATGTAAACCCCAATGAAGTGGCTACTTACAATGCTACTTTGTTCTACCCCCTTCGGAAACGAGCCAAGAAGAATGACTGCAGAAATTCAGCCATGGAATTCGGGCTCTTCAGTGGGACATCCTTTTCTATAAAATTGTAGTGTTCATGACAATGCGAATGCATTCCGCTAATTCAGTCAGTTAGTAGACGGGGTCTAGGGATTAGCTGCTAAAATCCGTGAGAAAATCTGAAACGGCACTTCAGCGGGACAAAACAAATAACTAAGAAATTCTTATAAAATTGGAAAAGTTCAATAAAATGACAAGATGAAGAGTGTTTTGGTCTTCGAGGATTGCATATTTATTTCCTTCGAAATTTTACTGCGGTAGCTCGACTGCGAGTAGTCCAGGCCGGGAACTTTTTGATACCCCTGTACTTTTCCCTAAGTGGTAGAACATGCGATAGAGAATGTGGACACGATTTTCGATAGCAACTTCAACGAATGTTAAAGGTCTCTGTTTTCATGAAAAATCCATCTAAAAAGCGTTGATTTTCAACGAGAAAAGAAGTGAAAAAAAGCCGCATCAATTATGAAAACTAAGTAATAGCTGAAATAAATCCAGAAGGTTAACACCTTTCGCGTCAACGTACTCGCTTCTTGTCAGGGCCGCGCGTACGCAGCCCCTTAGCTGTTGGCGAATCTCAGTTCGAGACTGCCACACGAGTCAGCCCGGGCGAAAGTGCAATGCGCGGGGCTCACTATGGGGGTTCCGCCTTGATGATCGCGAGACGCCCCCAGCCAGGTAAGTTTATGAGCCGTTGCCGTGTGTCAGGGCCCCGCTGCCCGCTCCGTACTCTTCGCTGTCCATATCTACGCGGCCCCTCTTGTTGCGCGAGACGCACACGCGAGGCTGTCCGACAGACTGCGAAGTAATCGCGAGACTCGGCATCAGCTGAGCAAAGTCGTCCATTGATGGAAACCCCAAAGGTTTAGTTCACTCCGGTGAGAGGTTTCCAGCACTCGATGACTTCCCGCCAAGAGCATTTTTGCATTCAATATGGGGCCAATCACTCAAATTAGGACATAATTCATTGAATTTTCAGCTTCTTTTAAAACTTCTTTCTTTCGGAAGAACCTGGAAGATAAGGAAACGATCACCAAATTTTGGAAGAATTTTTCTATCAAATGTTAGCTTAATGTCAGTAAGGAAACAATATGTAGCCAGCAACTTCTGAGAAAGGAGTTCA